CAGTAACCTTACTATACTGTAGAGTACACTTACGGCAACCAATAAGAATTACAGTATTCTACAGCACTTTTGCTGTCCTTACAGGGCTCTACTCTAAATGGATATCTTGCAGTTCCTACAGTACTTTTGCTTCCTTCTCCAATACACCTAGTGAATCTCTACAGTTATCTTACAGTACTCAAAAGGGCGATGGAACGGCACTTATTAGCGCTTTCGCTGTAATCAAGCGTAGTGTTGCTGTGCTTTAAGGTTCTCTTACAGTACGCTGCGGGGGTTAGCGCTTCAGTACCTATTCCACTCTACCCTAACAGTAGCTCTAACGCACACCCTTATAGTAGCTCTAGTCTAGACCGCTTCCACTCCTCAATTCTCTACAGCACTCCTATAACAGTCTAGTCTAGACCTTCCACTTCATTCTCGAATTTCGCTTCGTCCTTCATTTCAATTTTAGCGAAACTGCCTTGCCGTCATCTACAAGAGCTGGATACCCGTAAAAATACATAGCCTTCATATCCCACAGATGGAGTCCGTGGCTGCGTTCTCCATTTAGACATGGCAACAGCTGCGTTTCTAAAGGGATATTGCAGTTTCAGAACAGTTGCAACCATGTCTTTGCCCAGTAGAAGAAAACACAACACCTGCATCAAATGGAAGTATCCCGGGAACAACGCATCCTACGCCATGCCGCTGCCACGCCAATCCCACTACTAGGATGTGCAGCTTACTTAGTGTTGCTAATGTTTGGATTTTAAATGCCAATTTCATTCAAGTTTCGCCCGCTCACTTTGAATATTTCAGGTCCTGGTTTACACCAATGAAACTTCTCGCCGATAGAAAGTTAACAAAAACTGGGTAAGAGCAAGTGTTTGCACGTACTCATACTTACTGGACACGATCGGCTCGCCTTAGCGCTGAATTTGAAATTGTCGCAGAAGTCCTCATAGTTTGAAAGAACTAAATGAGCGATAGATTACTAACGAAAGCAGTGGTCAAAAAGCTAGCAAGAAACCTCGCCGACGACCGCAGCGAAGGCGTTGAGGGTGTCAGGAAGCACATCAGGATCATAAAAACTAGTGAAGTCGTCTGGGATGTCAGATAAATTGTGATGTATCTGGAAGAGTGGCGATAATGTAACATTCTGTGTATCACTTGTTTTCTTCTCTGAGCGACACTCTAGTTGAGTAATTGCTGAGGAACTTTTCAAAGGTTCTTTCTCGTGATTTCATCACTACTTCAACATTACCATCGCTTCCTTGCCGATCAATAGAGGGAGGTATTCGTGAGTAGTTATGTGCTGTATCTGCGATATAACTATTCGTCGAGCTTCCTGATACAGTTGCTCGTCGTCCCAAGTAGGATTAAGGTCCTAAAATAAAACTGTTGGCTGCTTGATCTTCTGACTGGCTCAAGCTGAAGCTTTCATTTCAGTGGGGTTCGTTAGACCTGAAAGAGTTACCTTAAGTTGTTTCGCTATACTGTTGTGCTGGAATGTCCATATTTCTTTCAAAACCGTCCTGGAGGTTTCCAAGTCTTCTAACAGAACTGGAGGAAAATCGTTTGCAGGTAGATGACCTGGTGAAAAAAGAGAATGAAAATAATACCGTATAATGTAGGTAGATCAAGAATAGGAAAGTTTCCGGTGTCTGTCAGCCCGCTGGTTATGTCCTGTACGCCGTAGGGTTAAGAACGCAACGTTTTTTTTGGGAGGGCCCTTCTCTTTCCACCAGTTCTCCAATAGAACGCAACATGTTTCGACTGTTGAAATTGCCGTCAGTCTTGTTCGCTGCGGATGATGGGGGCGGGTGGAGGGGGGGGGGCGTCAAGGGGGAATAAATTGAGGCGCGGTACGAGCCCATTTCCCTTTTTTTTCCTTCGAAAAGCGACAGTCTGTAGAAAATGCAGTCCACCAGTGGTTGCCGCTTCTCCCTTCAATGACTGGTGAAGAACGGGCTGGTGGCGTGCCAAGCTCAGCCTCACTGACACGCCCCATCATTCGCAGCAAGCAGTACTGTAGCACTATCTCACCTTGAGAGCATGACTTGGCTTTCATCGCTTCAAAACATGCAGTATCAAGGTTCGCTAGAGAGTGACCCCTCCCAGGGGACAAAGTGCCCAAAAGAGCCTCAGCACTCTCCTAACTCCTACGAAACATCTTGTTTGTTGGCCCGAATACTTGTGGACATTCGGAAAGGTTTAGCTGTAACCTCGAGCGAGAGAAAGCGTGAGCGAGGACTGGTCAACATAGGGAAAACTCAACTAGCGAGTTGCCAATTCAGAGTGTTCGCCAGAGCTCTCATACCGCTGAATCCTTAGCGGATGTAAAACGAAACGGAATGATACCGTCTACTCCAGTCCTTTTTGCTTTCGCTTCTTCTACTGTTCTGCCGTAAACCGTTCCTGCATCGATGAACGAGCTTCCCATGTTCATTTGCTGCCGTGGTCCCAGTCGACATCTGTTCAAAAATTCGTAACAGTCTCAGGATTCGATTTTCTGTTCCCCTGTTTCAACTTTCTATGATCTTATAAACTATGGGTTTGATTGGTGACTGAACAGTCAAACCTTTCTGACGGCGCTATCTGGCTCCTCACATAGGGGTAACATCCGAGAGGCGGCGGAACTCTGGAAGTATAATTAGTGGTTTTGGGATGTCTGGTCTGGCTTTTGGCTGTTTGAATGTGTCTGCAGAATGTCACTCAGGAAGAGCAATGTTTATATTAAAATCACATTCCACGTTCGTCGAGTGGGCGGGGCAGGACCAATCGTTTTGCCTTCTTGATGATCGTAATGATAAATGCCCACCCATTATCCACTTGAAGAGGAGCACACTCTGGGTGAGTAGACACTGGGCAACATGTTGGGGCACTACCTTCTGAAATTTTCAAAATCAGAAAATGAAAATACAATAAAAATGTCCCAGAGGAAAATACTATAAAACTTCGGAAAATCCAAATGTGAAAGATATGCAGTGCTCGAGAAAAAAGAAAAGTACCTGCCAACATAAAAGGTGCTAAAGCAGCCATGTCACTGTACAGGAAACGTGACCAGTGAACAAAGAGTGCCGAGACGGAAGGTGAAGGATAGTGGTGGCCGAAATGCACGCTGAATCCCAACTTATACCATTTTCACTTTGAATCGGACACTTTTCAAACCAAATCGGACACTTTCAAACGGGCACACCCCTTACAATGGGCAGTTGAGAACTAGACCACACTAGGTACTGCTGCAAGCCCAGCCTCATTATCGCCCATTTCTCAGCGCGGTCATGGTTTTCTAAAATGAATTCTGCTTCTTCGAATTTTTTTTCACTTTTGCTATTTGACACACATACTTCAACTGAATTGGTTTGGTACCGACACATATATGACTCCGCCCACTTTTCAATGTAGTTACGCAAGTTTTGAATTTTTATAACTTTTTTCGACGTAGATCTTTTCACATTGAATCTTCACAAAACGCATATACTAATAGCCATGCATTTGCACACTAGCACACTGAGCCCTCTGACCAGGTCCCTCTGTGCTTTTCGCGGAATTTTGGAACGGAGTTTCCCTTATTTCAGTTCTGTGTGACGGGAGAGGCCATAATCTGCCAGTAAGTACTCTAGCCTGCCGATCTGCATCATTTTTCAAAAGTGGGCGGGGCTTCTACAAAGTGGGCGGAGCTTCTATTAGTGGGCGGAGCCACTTAATACAAACCAAAAAAAGTAAAAATTCGGAAGAAAAGTCGAAATTCCGCGAGAAGCACACAGGGGCGCGGTCAGAGGGCGGGCTTAGTGTGCTAGTGTGCAAATGCATGGCTATTAGTATATGCGTTTTGTGAAGATTCAATGTGAAAAGATCTACGTCGAAAAAAGTTATAAAATCCAAAACTTGCGTAACTACATTGAAAAGTGGGCGGAGTCATATATGTGTCGGTACCAAACCAATTCAGTTGAAGTATGTGTGTCAAATAGCAAAAGTGAAAAAATTTGACGCGCTAAGAAGTGGGCGGGGATGTTGGGCGGGGCTTGCAGCAGTACCTAGTGTGGTCTAGTTCTCAACTGCCCATTGTAAGGGGTGTGTCCGATTTGATTTGAAAAGTGTCCGATTTGGTTTGAAAAGTGTCCGATTTGGTTTGAAAAGTGTCCGATTTGGTTTGAAAAGTGTCCGATTTAAAGTGAAAATGGTATATATCATCGCACTGCTCAAACTGGCCGTTCTAAATGAACTTTTGCTCCTTCACGGCAGTACAAGTATATAAACACATGTGCAGAAAAACTGAAAACACATTCCATGACTGATTCGATGGGCGGAGTCACAACTTCACTCATACGACTGGCCCAAGCATGTGCCCTCAATAATTTTTTTCGTCAAGATTTCAACCGTACACGTCGTGAGCGATTTTGCGCTCTGTTCATTAGACGAGATGATGCAGACAGGTTGTCCGTGCACATCACTCCATCAGCCCACGTTCGAACATACTGCATAGTTCCGTAGCAAGCTTCTGATGCACTGCGCACTGACACTCAACACCCGATCGATATAAGGCGGGTAACTCCTAATGAGGTAGCACTGCGGTCGGAAACCACAAGAGCAGGCCCAAGTCACGTCCGAAAAGGCACACGCTTCCCACAGTTCAGCACGCTTGTGAAAATTGTAGGATGTAGACTCTGGACTCCTCCATGGCATCATGGTATCCACGTGAAGGATTTGAGGGAAAATAAGGGCACGTCATCGCTGTGGATATCATAGGAAGGGATAGAGGTGGTATTTGACCGCGAACGAGGGGGTAGATCGTAGGCGCAGGGCTCATTCATTGTTGTTAAGTACACCAGAAGAGACACCTGAAGACGAGGAGAATGGGCGGTGACAAAAAGTACTGCGCCGCTCATGTCGATGTCATCTGTTAGGGAACAAAAGAAACCCAGTATATGGTCGAACCACAACCACAGAAGCCCGTCTGCGTGCACTGTGAAGCCTTATCTAGAAGGTACACCTTTCCAACAGCTCTGTGTCGGGGGCGACTGCATGGCGCAATATAGTGCAATCAGGGCCGAATGAACTATTTCTTGGTAAACTTGACCGAAAAGATGGGTTCTAGAAGCACACAAAGTGTTCTAACGAACTGGAGATTGTACAGCGCCGAGGGATGGGCTTTTCGTACCGCCCGACACTGCTTACAACTTACGATAACAACACATCATGGGATTTTGTTTGTAAATAGCGGGCTTAGAAAATAGTTTGGTGCTCTTTAGAAAAAAAATTAGGTTCTCCTGGTAT